GTTCTTCCTCAACGTTCTAGTGTTTTATCTTCGATTGTTTCTTGCTAGGATTGACCACAAAACCATGAGTGTTTTATGAAGATTTTTCTTTCACATTGCATCGTCTCTCAAAATACGTAGTTTCCTCTGTACTTCTACAGACTGTAATCTCCTCATCTGGATTGAGATTTTGAGGATTGGCAATGCATGTTTGCACGAAATAGGAATTCCACATTTTGTTATTAAGTAAACTCTCAGTTCATTTTCTGTTGCCTTTGCTTTGCAGTTGTGAAGGCTTACCAGTACACATCCCTAACAAGCGTGATGTTGCTGGATTGCTGGGCAATTCCGTGTGTTCTGCTTTTTACGTGGTTTTTCTTGAAGACAAAGTACAGACCCAGAAAATTAGTTGGTGTTGCCATCTGTATTGCTGGTCTTGTCCTGGTGATATTTTCAGATGTACATGCCGCAGATCGATCAAGTAATACTGTTACAACCAGTAGTCATCCTACTTGTTCCCTTTGATGTTAATTATTCATGTGGCTTCACTGCATGCGCTTTTCCATTGCTTAAGTCGCTTTATATGTATGATCGTATATCATCTGCTACTTTTTGGAAAGGGGGTAATCACATGAAAAATCTGCCGGCTCTATTTAACTTAAATTCAGCATGTCTATTAGCTGAAAAATAATACTTAATTTCTCACTGCTGTAGGTGGTAGCAATCCTATCAAAGGGGATATAATTGTAATTGCTGGAGCCACACTGTATGCTGTGAGTAATGTCAGTGAGGTAAGCAGATGATATCTGTGAATATTCACTAGCTTTTTTTGAACCAAAAATGATATCTATGTATAGTTAGAAAAGTTCTTTCTTCCCAGTGCGGATGCCTCAGTGAGGAGGTGTGAGAGGTTGGATATGGTAGGTAGGAGGAGATGTAAAGGTAGGATGAAGAAGTATTGGGGAGAGGTGATTAGACATGACACATCTGTAAGTTTATCGAGAACATGACCCTTGAGGATATGGAGGTCGATGATTAGGGTAGAAGACTATAGGTGGTCGAGCATTATCTAACTTTTCCTTCTCAGGGTAGGGGTGCGTAGCCCCACTTCTGGGATTACACAACATATGTTGTTGTTGTTAGCAATTCACGTTATGATAAGGGATACAAACTGTGAAGGCAACAATAGACAGGGTTTTGTTCTCGTATATATTATATTTCTCTCAGGTAGCATTGATTCCTTGTACAGTACAGTACCCTTTTTACTATGAACTATTTCTTTCTTGGTCTTGTTTCTCAAGTTGGCTAGCCTGTTTCACATTGTTAATGCTTTAATTTCATTTTCTATGCAGGAGTTTTTTGTCAAAAGTGCTGATATGGTTGAACTCATGGCATTTCTGGGCCTGTTTGGTGCCATTGTTAGTGGTTGCCAAATGTATCCTAATTTGCTTGAAAACACTTCTCTTTAATGTTCAAAACACAATTCACTCATTTGGATGATACTTGGTTCAGTCATTATAAGAGCTTATAGGGGTTAACCTTCTTTCTTGATAAATGCATATTCTTTAACTGCTGATGATTCTGCACGCGATTTCTTTAACCATGCTACAGAGGCATACTTGAGCGCAATGAGTTGAGGTCCATTCACTGGTCAGCTGGAGCAGTAAGTCTCTTATGCTTTGATCTATTTCCTCACAAATGAACATGGATACAGAAAATGAAGAAAGAAATTAATGCTGCCTTTAGAAGAGCAAACTTGTGTAGCATTATTATCTTTAATTTCTGAGCAAGTTCACTGATGTTGGATTTATGACTTAATTGAACACTTCTTTTTTCCCACAAGTATCAATGGAACCCAAACATGAAGCTGTAATTATAAAAGGTGAACTTAACAATACAAACCTGCATATTTTTTATTTCTGAGAAGAATGAGGTCCATATTTTCCTGATGTCCTATACAGTCATCTGCCCTCCCAATAATGAAAAGGAAAACACTGCTGAAAAAGGAATGAAATCTGATGTGATTGAGAAAGCAACATTGTACTTCATACACCATTATAAATTATAAAACAGTATCCAAGGTTTCAGATCCTCTCCCTCCTCTTTCAAAAACATTATAACTCCTCTATTATATTCAACCACTTCTCCTAGCAAATTATACATGCTACAAAAAAGTAAGTTTTCCCATCTTAACTCTAATTCTGAAAACTGGAAAGGAAAGAAATAGAGGGCTGTTATTTTAGGGAATTGGGATAAAGGTGGTGGGCTATGGTGTAAGGGCTCAGAATAGGGGTATTCAGGCTAAGTCACTGGATTCTGTTAACTGAAGCAATATAGAAATATGAGATATCTTGGGGTCTTTTATCTCAAGAAGCCTAACTTGCCATTCCAAAAGTAAGTCTAATAATGTGAGTTGTGAGGTTATTTAAGAGGGGAACTGGCTCGCCATTCCTTATCATTTTGTGTTTATGTACTTTGTTTCATTGTCCTTTTGCTGGCAGTCTTTTAGTTTATCCTCACATCAAGTTGTTTAAACATTTATTACCATATGGAATTTCAGGCACTTCCCTTTGTTGGATTTTCATTGGCGATGTTTCTTTTCTACTCATTTGTTCCCGTTTTGCTGAAGGTATATCCCCCTCTCTCAATCTCTCCGTCAATCTTTCTATTGGTTCATATACATGTGTATGTTATATATTATATATATATATATATATATAAAATAAACCAGTTGACAGTCAACTATGCTCCAATCTAAATATAGTGTGGTGCAATCTACACTATGTTGACCTGTTAAAGAAAATGATGTGTTGTAGATATCATCACATTCTAGGTTCTTATAATTATTCTCTGTTGATGCTCATTAGTTTTGGAGCTAGTTTTTTTTTTTCATTCTGAAATGCCACCTTTTGGATGCAGAGGAGTGGTGCCACAATGCTAAATCTAGCCTTGCTTACCTCTGATATGTGGGCTGTTGTAATTCGTATCTTTGTATACCATCAGAAGGTTTGCAGAACAATCGGCTTCTTTTCATTTTGAGCATTAAAATCTATTTAGACGTGGACCTAGTACTTTTGCTGTGATTCATTAGTGTTGTTCTGAAATCAGTATCATGTTCTTCAGGTTGACTGGATATATTTTGTAGCTTTTGCTGCTGTTGCTGTGGGTCTTCTTGTTTATTCTGGGTAAGTAACAATTTGGTTCCTGAATGGGGTTTATCTTTCTTTTGTATATTAGCGCTTAGATTTTTTTTGTCCATGTTTTCATAGAACTAAGAGGATAATCTAACTGTTGGTTAAGTTTTTATTTATATGATGGGAAATCCTCCATACGTCGCTGATACTAAAAAGCTGAAGAAAGTTACTTTCATTGGCACCCTAGGTACCTAAATCGGGCAATATGGAAACTCTGCTTTCTCTTCTTAATTATCTTATTACAAAAGATTTCACAGTAGATGTACCATCTCTCTGCCCCTCATATCTCCATTTATCCTTTCCATAAATGAGACCTGCTAATATAAGACTTCAAGTAAACTGTTAATTTCTCCAGTCTGCCAATTTTTGAAATTTCTCCAATAGCTCAAGTTCCAAAAAATTATTCCTTTCTGTTCTTCGCAAAGCCGGGCCATCATTGCTCTCTGCTGGTTTCATATGATGAAAGTGGCCTGGAATGCTTCACTATGTGGGATTACTCTTTTGCTTCCACAAGCTGATTATGGTGCCATCACTATCTCTAAATGTTTAACATTTTGGTAGAACTCCTTCTATGACTCCTCCATATAGCTACCCATGAGAAAAAAAAAATTCATCCACCCAAAACCTGAACTTCGTACTTATCCGTGATAACTCTCCTCCAACATGCCTGTTCTGCACTTAATCCTAACTTGGATTAGGATGGTTTCTGTTGATTATCAATTCAGTCTAGTTATCACAATGTAGAATATTAAGGAGTTTGTTCTTGTTCACTGATGATACTCTTAACAGTCGAGGTGCTGGTGCAGTACTTGAAATGTTTTTCCTGTGCTACTATGTGAGAAAGCAAATCACTATTCACTAGTATTGTAAATTGTTGGTCAATCTCGATAATTAAACTCTCATTTGGTAAGACTAGTCAAATGCTTTTATAGAGCAAGCAGATTATTTTTTTTACATATTTGACTCCGTTTCAGGCGGGATAAGGTGGATAAGAACGTAGCTGATGAAGGCATTGTAAGAAGCAAGCGATTTGACGAGGAAACTGGCCTAGATAATCCTGCACGAAAAGATGCCATTGAGAGCTCAAGAACTGAAGAAAACAGGCAAAGTTTTGACGCCGAAACAGAACCCGGAATTCAATTTCAAGGAAGATAACTTTATTTTGTAGTTTTGAAACTTTTTCTTCTTTTTTATTTCTTCCTCTATCCCCTGTAGGAAAGGTCTTATTCCATTGCTAGGGTTGATTCTCAGGCTAGTGAATTTGCGTTAATGCGATGTAGCTGCCAAACAGTTACTCTGTCATTTTACTTAAATAAAACTTCTCATTCATTTAATAGTATTATTTTATCACTACACTTCAGTGAGCTTTTGAAGTCAAAAACATTTTCTATTGCTTAATACCTCCTTCTGTGTATGAAGTCACTTTAAAAATTGATTCTGCATAATAGTATTATGGCACCATTGCCTGGGGGTTACAGCTGAAATATAATAACCACTAATTAGTTAAATTGTGTAATCTTCTTAAAATACATTCCAAGCAGATTGATCTTTTTACATAGCTGAATCTCCAGAAAAGAAGATGGTCAACAGAAATAGCCACATTACATGAGGAAACTGAACACATTCCAAGCATATTGCTCTCTCTGTGAGATGCTTGATAGGTTTTCCATATTCAACAGATATCCTAACACGTTGAGTAAAAGCGCCAACTTTTACGTACAAGAAGTGAAAAGATGTGCACTTTTTACATAGGAAGTTTGCCATACATTAAACATGCCTCTGCTTCAAACTTGCTGCTGAGTAATTTCTCGTCTTGTATTAAAAGCTTCAATTAAACGATCTCTGCTATAAGTTTCTGAAGGGCTTCATTTGTAAGAGGAATACAAAGGCAATCTTGACCATCAGAATTTCTTTTTGTTTTGATCAACTCATGGTCCTTAAATTCTGTCAAATGTGAATTCAAAGTAACTTGACTGCTCACCAAGAACCGTTCTCGGCACGTACTGTACAGATTGTTGATTGGCATACCTGACAAGAACCATGTCCAACTTTAAGGTATTGACTAAAAGCATAGACCTAATTGCATCAACATACATGGAAATGGAGATAGAAATGGGAAACCAAAGTATGAAAGCACTTACCTTCTTCATCAGGATGGGCCAATTGATGCTCAGCAAGAACTTTAAAAACATTTTGAGCATTCGGAGTCAAACTCTGTAAGACAATTGAAGCTGTCTTCACACTTTGTGCACTGCCCCCATGGGCGAGGATGAAAGGAAAAAACATTGATTCAACCTTGTATGGAGCAAAAGTAGGAACATGGCACCAGTACCAGTCAAATTGTGTATGAACCATCTTCTTGTCCCACACTGGCATATACGACAGCCAATAGAGCAAATATAAGACCTTTTTGAATGTGACATGCAAATAATAAACAGAGTTCAAACACCAGCCTAAGTTACATAATTAAGGGAAATGACTAGAATTTGACACTTCAGCATCAGATGGTATAGTTAAAGTGATATATATTTACATTCAAGCAGCAATTAGCAAAAGACACTACAGCTAGAAACTCTTAAAACACGTAAAATTAGCAAACTGCACTAGTACATGCAAGACATGGAAAAAAGACTTCCACAAACACTCCCTTATCCAATTATATAAATGCTCACACACGTGTTCAGAGAGCTCTTACAAAGAGGAGCGTTGACATGGTCAATGGAAGCAACCATACGAACATGAGAACAAGCAGCAATGCTTGCAAGACATTGTTGGCTGTCAGAATCACGTAATCCAGGACCATCAATGTTGTGAACAAGAATGCAAACAAAACACTCCTCAACTTCTAGGTCTGGGCTGTCTAGAAAAGTAAGGAGGTCAGACATGGATCTGGTGTTAAATGGTTGTTGGCTTTTACACAGACTTCCTGAGGTAGTCTTCTGTCGCAATTTTACTTGATCCGAGAGGAGCTCAGCCAGTGTTATCACCACCTGAAATTATAAATCAACAATAGCAGATCTCTTAGTATTACTCAGAAAGATTGTGCGCCAGCAACATGGGTAATGTGCTTCTCATGGAGATCTTTGGCATATGATATCATAATGAGGGAGTGGTCAGAGCTGCAGTAATTGTTGATATTATGAACAAGTATAGGAACTTAAGAAAAAGGAATTACTATTGCCATATTAAGTCCCAGTGACCATGCACCAAGAATCACATGAATTGTGTATACAGTTATTGATGCTTCAAGCATTGATAGCCTCCATCAGACCAAGAGAAAAGGAGCGTTCAGAATTATTTCAACCACTTGTATTCTATTTCAATTGTTTTAGGATTGTGAAGTCTGGGCATAACCATCTTATTGGGCAAGCCAATATGAAATCTTCAGTCACAGCCCTCTCATTAAAGCCATTAGCACTGTTATAACATATAACAATAATCTTCAAAATATTGTCAGTGCTAACTTAAAAATCCATGCCAGTGAGCCTGTAACGCACTAAAGTAGGAAGCTTGCAACCAAACCAAACACAGCTCAATAAGCAAATGCTCCTGCATGATGAGTGCTCTTGTAGTAAGCTGTCTAGACCTGATATACATGCCTATAACATCATTTTTCACAAAATTTGCACAGAGGAGTTTGAGACTTTCTACACAATATTTTTAAAACATAGGTACCAAGAAAGCACCACTTTTGAACAAGGAAGAAAACAATAGACGAATACCTGTTTAAGATTTATAGATTGGAGATACCCATTGACAACAACAACAGAGTACTCAGTTAAAGATTTTGAGGCAAAATCTTCAATCAAAGCTTTCTTTGATCCAAAGCCATACATCAAAAGTGCAAAGCCGCTCCTATCAGATTAAATTAAAAGAAAATTAGAAAGGAAAACCTTCCTGGTTTAAATTTGATAGATAATGGGAAAAAGGCAAATTAAAAAGTTTATCCAAAAAGCATAGCATAGAGTAAACCTATACATCAGGACTCTGACCTTAGCACGAAAAGCCATTTTGAATATAAACTTTTGTAGCTACTGATCAACTCATTAACTTCTTTCTCATGTTTGGGCTCAATACTAGCTGCCACCTCTCTTAATTCCTGCATGCAACAATAATTGTTATGGACTTCTTTCTCATGTTTGAGCACAACATGGACAAGAAGTATAATTTGGAGATTGTGCATAAACCCTCATCTTTGAGGGTATTGTACAATGGCTTTTTTCATTGATACTATCTTTATTGCCTTAGCTCAGTGGTCAAGTATAGACAATAGTTTATCATTTGAATGATCACAGTTCGCATTTTGAGGTAGTCCATCTCTTTTGTAAATGTACCTTCATGCACTTATTGGAAGGTATCCAATGAGGAATCAGCCCTTCTTTTCTCCTTAATTACAAAAATCACAAATTTTGTCTAACCTCTTAGCTCACTCATAAACATAAAATGGCTATTAACAAAAACCACAAATCAGCCCTTACGCTTATCTGAAATGTTATGTGTCATGCTGACAAAGAAGAAGAAAATGTCACAACTATTGTACTTCTACACACTAAATTTGATTGAAACACAGTGTATAGGATAAACGGGGCATGTTCTCAAATATTACATCAAGTAATAACAATTACTTAAATGAATCATCCAATCTATTTGGGTCTAGCAAAGGTATTCTCTTAAGGGGTACTCTTTTTCTCCTAGTTTTTTCATGAAGCGACTATGCTATATACTATAAAAGAAGAGTCTTTGTAACATAATAATTGGCCAACATTAGATAGCTGGATGTCAAAAATTTTGGTTATACAGTCGATCACAGAACAAATAATCAAAAGGCAGTCTATAAAAAAAAAACCATAGCACAATAGCCAATACATACGCTCAGGTCACCAATACCAAAGACAACAGCACATGAATGTAGAATTCTAACAGTTGGTGCAATCAACTCAAGCTGTATATACAGTTGAACAATAATAGGAATCAAAACACAAACCTCTTCGTCAACGAGATCGATTTCTGAAAGCTTCCGAGCAGATTTTTTCCTTGAAGAAGAGCCCAATTCTTTAGCAAGGAAATAGTTTCTCGAGAACCCAAACTCCTCTTCTTCAATCTCGTCTACATCCATTTCAGAGAATCTGAATTATTAAGGCTCTGTTCAATTAACAAGCACAAGTTTGCAGAAGTGCTAGACTCCAAAATTGTATTTGTTCTTTTTCTGAATTGCAAAGTTGTAGCAACTACTCCCACCGTCCCCTGCTCTCTCCGGTCTATTGTCCGGCGACTCTGACGGAGACTTAGGAAGAGAATTAGGGATGCTAGGGTTTGTTTGGTCACTGAATTTAACAGGAGTTAAAAAGTGGCGGGAAAATAGTAGTTTTTAGTCCCTTAGTTATTGTTATATTGTAATTTCATCCTTATTATAATTTGACCAAACATATTTAACCCTAAATTAGATTGAGTGTGCTAAATTAGTCCTTCAATCTAATTAATTATATATTTAATTAATTTCTTGGGAGTACAAATTTTCTCCCATATGCTACTAGCATTATTTTCCTCTTCTCATCAGTTTTCCCCCACAGATAATCCTTACATTGGTTGTCTACTTCCTTCAATACACTTTGAGGTAGTATAAACGCAGTCCCCCAGCCAAAAATAAGACAGCATTTATGATTTGAAGTCGACCAGCATAAATAAGATAGTTGTCTAGAATAAGTTGTGATTCTGGAGGTTATCTTTTCAACTAATTGATGATACTCCATTTTGCTCTATTTCTTTGAGGACAAAGGTAGGCTTAAGTATCGTATAGGGAGTGTTCCTAAAGAGAAACTTGTTCTGTCCAAAATCTCCTGCTTTACTTCATCATTCAGAAAGATACTTGATTTCTCTTGCATATTAGTTTAGAGATGCACTTGTATAAAACATTGCAACATGACATGCTGTCTCACCGTTTTTAACCAGATATGAATGTATATTTTAAGTAATGTCCCACTTATAAGACAATTATTTTTGATAAACTAGAAATCCCCATATGCAAGAATCATATTATTAACCCTCCTTTTATCTTTTTATATCTCATCAAAGGGAGTTAGTTAACTGATCATTAGAATTTAAATCCATCACTAAACCATTAACAGAATTACATTAAAGAAATCAAAACTGAGAACTAACAGCATACAATTATTTAGATAATATGTTTATTCATAAGATCTGTTTCTAAACTTAAAGTGAGTCCAAATCTCCAGCTCTTTCAGTAAACTTCTTACGACGGGACCTGGGAAAAAGAAGCTGACGGATCTGTTTCTCAGCAGCAATCTCTGAATGTGCCTGCACAGAAGCCATAGTAAAAAGAATCAAAATCACATTTTTGCAATATCCCCGAGTCAGTTACTTTAAGCTTCGCATAAACTTAGTCGTATAGAGAGAAATGTAACAGAAAAGAACATTTTTGGCCGATAACGTCTCCAAAGTAGTAAAAAGGTCACCACCATTCATTCATCTTGATGCATAGACGAGGGAGGATACACGCCTTCTCAAGTTAGTCAATCCCATGTCTCATATTGTCTATATTTTGAGATGTTTTCACTAAAAAGGCGTTCTATATCATGTGCCATGGGCCGTGTATTCCAAGTAACATACTTCACATTAGCAAGTAGTCGATCATCCTGTTTTAGATGTGCAAGTTCTACTTTGTCCACTTCCAGAACACCGAAGCAACAATTACAAACAACATCGGATCACTCACTTCATATTATTTTTTACCACTACACATCAGTGAGCGTTTAAAGTAGAGTATTTTCTATTGCTTACCCTAACTTTGAAGGGGAAACGATGTGTCCATACTTCTGTTCCAGAGAGAACTCTGACATCCATGCCAAGACTGTCAACTCCAATCAAATTTGCTCTCTGCAAAAATGGTGGATGTTATATTAGTTTCATGAATTCTAAAACATCATTTTCTCTAACATCTAACCACACAATTACAAAATAATTATTGTAAAAAGGTTGAAACTCTTTCTTTGAGCTAATAAAGATGGTAAAAATGGTGGATTTTGTAAGACATGTGGGCCCCACAGTTATATTTAACAGTTTTTGGGAATAAATTGTTAAATTTAGGGTAAAAGACTAAATTGAACACATTTTGTCATACATGAAGGACTATTTCAATCACCTAGAATATATTAAGGACCAAAATAAAGTAACCCCAATACATCAAGGACCATTTTGATCATTTTCTCTGGAAATAACTGCCAACATTTACATCAGAAATACTAGATTTCAACTTCTAAATGGAGTTTCGTGAACAAGAGTAAATTTGATGGTCCAAACTAGTGTTACAAAAGAACCATCATTTGAACAATAGAAACATCACTAGATCAACCTAATTATTTGGAACTTCTATGCATATCAAAGTTTAAGCATCAGCATCAATTGACGAGTACCTCAACATGAAGTCCTTTCTTTCTGCAGAGAGCTTTAAGTGCATATTTGCACCTTATTCCTTGCTGCCTAAACCACTCTAAAATTGCTGGAGCAGAGTGTACAAGACTGTCAGGCTCAGCATCATGGAAGTCATACAAATTTACTGCTAACTGCACCAAAAAAGAAGGATGAACGTTGAGCATTACATTATTGCCTATCGCAGTCCTAGAATACTTCAAAGAACAATATTTTCATTTCTGGATTCGTCGTATGCTTCTACCGTATTTCAGTTCTTTTCAGATAGGAAATACTAAAACTAGATAATCCATACATGCAATACTACTCAATAAGCAAGATGCAGATGTAACAAAAAAAGAGAAGACTTAATACATACTTTAATCCCTCACTCGTCAAGATTTCCCCCTTCACACCTGACATACTAAGGTGACTTATTACACACTTCATCTTTCCAAAGACGAGCCGAATACCTCCTCCTTTTCTGTATGACTACTTAAAATGGATTGCGCATAACCCACACCAAATATATGTGCCATAATCTTTAAAAAGGTAAGAACACAAAAGAGAATACTTGAATCAACATATTTCATCCCACCCCACTAATCTGATTTTCGTTGGCTGGAATCCCGTTACAAGCACGAAATGAGTTAAGTACATACCTGCGCACCATATACTGAAAATAGGTCGACTCTGATGATTTCCAATCTGTAGATAGAAGACAAAGTGCAGCTCTTGTCATATCTTGAACTAAAACTCAAAATTTCTCCATCTGTTAAAAAAAAAAGAGTGAATCAACAGATAAATAATCAAATAATACAATAAAAATCTTTAACTCAAAAAGGAACAAGATTCTTGGAGGCCAGAGCTCTTTCACTGTCATACAATGATCTGAGATCTAGAGTAAGAGCTCATTCTAAACTATGATCAACAGTCATACAGCTAACAGCGCAGACCGATACAGTTTTTGCAGGCGAAATAAATGAGTTGAAAAGGATAAGGCACACTTTTGTTAAAGGAATAAATATTGTAGAGGAACTCTCCCAAAGGTGGGTTTAAGTAAAAGGAATTTTAACTTAAAAGACTTGATAGGAGGAAGGGGATCAAAGAAAGTAAAGATATGATGCTTCTAGTTTCATGTCTTTGCTTGGCCTCAAGTTCAAGACTCACGTATAGCTTCTGTTATTTTCCGCCAATATCTCCTAAAGAAGCACATTGCATACTTCCGAGTTTCAGGAGACGGGGACAGCTTGCACAAAGAAATATTTGAGAAATATCTAATGATCCTTCCTTCTCAATCTCCTTTCTTTTCCTTCAAATCATTCCTGCTCTTTTTCTACTCCAATCCCTTTTTTTATGATCTCCTAAAACCTGAAACTAAACCTGAAAAAATAACAAAATCTGTAGTCTAAACAGCCCTCAAGAAGTTACTAAATTTCACAATTTGTTACCAGAACATCCCCTTTCAGCTTCATCTAAGTTAGCTTATTCTATAAGTTCATTTTAAGTGACTCCATTATAGCGTCTATACCTTAATCCCAAATATTGATTTAAAGGTATAGACATACATAATGCTTATGAGCAATCATCCCTGAGATGAAGGTATCAACAGAAGAAACTTTTTCCACTTATCAGGAAAACATTTTTTTTTTATAAACGAGAAATCCCCATGCACCACTCACGGTTTGAGCATCAGCCCTTCTACCCTTCTCCACTTAAATACCCAAGACAACAAACTATGATACCAAAACAACGTAGATAACATTTTCTTGCCTTGACTATTGAAAATTCCCTGCAACCCTCAGGGTGTGAAGTGAATTATTGATTGTTTAACTTTACCTTTCCAATCCAAGGTGGAGCCATCACTAACTTCATCGCCACTGAAGAGCCTTCGCACGTAATATTCTTCTTCCAGAAAGGCAGGCTTGAGGCGTCCCCAAATTGAAATGCCATTTGATGGATGATCCATCATCTTAGCATGTTTCATGTGAACAGCCTACGAAATACACAAAATAGGTTGTGGCTTGAGAGGAACCAAATTGGACAATGTCTATTCAGAAAAAATAATTTCAGAACAGAATACAATGAAAATGTAGCGTATTGTTTGAGCATATTCCATATAATGCACAATCCATTAAAGAAGCTTAAGTTTATATGTATACTCCAAAAGTTGGGGAAATGTTATTTCTGAAAAGCCATACTTCACACAGCATCTCATGTATGATGGATTATCAAAAACTAGCCTGAACATAACTCAACACGAAAAGTTAGCTCATGAGGTGAGGATTACCAAAACCATACAAGCAGACCAAATCCCCATCCCACAACCAATGAGCGAAAAACTTAACCCTCCCCCACTGCATGCCTAGGCCTATTAACTAGAGCTTGGACATAATATGAAAGCCCAATATCGGGTAAACCAAGAATTGAGATGGGTCCCAAAAGCTAGTTTCTGATGTAAGAATTGCCTAAGAGCACAGAGACCAAATCCCCATCCCATAATTATTGTGGACAAACTCAACAATGGGAGAGATCACCGCCCCTGACCTGCCTCCGATTACTAAAAGTGAATTTGTTTTCAATTACCCTAAGCCGGCCTATCATTCATTGGTTAGGGTTAGGGAAAAAAGCTACCTGGAAGTAATCTCTTCTTCTCAGTGAAAGCTAAAGGCACTGGTATAGTAAGAGTGTGGTGCGTGCTCTCTTTATTCTGTA